CCCGATGTGTCCCGTGAGCTGCCATCTACCCCAAGGACACACCGTCGTGTCCCACAGCTGGGGCACCACGGGACCGCCACATATTGTGTTTTTTCCGTTATAGTAAGAGTTTTACGGCACTAGCAACACAATAGGTCATACAAGAGCCGGAGATTAGAGGTGTTACAATAAAGGACACAAACACAAACAGAAGGAAGGGAGATAAGGATGACAGATGTGGGATAAGTTAGGAACAAACCACGTTTCATCGTGGGAGAATCATGCGCTCGTCGAAGTAATCAAATCGAAGGAACTAACATTTCCCTACCCATTGGCATTTTTTACCCATTTTGCTCACTCAGCACCTTAGATATCCATTAAAAAACATATTTCGTATGTTTGGGTTTTATTGACAAACGTTGACCAAAGGCACAAAAAGGTAAATGTTGCGTTGCCAGGGACACCCAAGCTTAGGAAGTCACCAACAGATGGCTGCCATTCTCGCTACTTTTACTTCTTTACACTTTCTTCAACCGCAAATATCTTAACCTCTACTCTAGATAGATGGGCTTTTTTTCCCCTCAAAAGCAAGCCACGCAAACAAGCTTGAAGATGGCACCAGTGACTCAGTATGCCCCAAAACTGACGAGCGCCTGATTCCACCACGACCGCGCCAAACTGTCCATCCACCACAGATAGTACAACGGGTGAAGTATCTTTGCCTCAACAACACAACCCAACACCTCCCCCAACAAAAAGAAAAAACAAGTAAAAAATACAACCCCCCCCCCCAAAAAAAAAACCCCGCAGGAAAAGGGTCCCCAGATTCTTATTTACCGAACGGAAGACCGATCTTTTGTCAATAACATCGGGTAACCAAGCACAGGATGTGTGACTAACAATTAATTGTGTCACCGAATTCCCAAAGGAGAAGAAACAAGACAAACTGGAATGTACATGACCGGTTCACGATATTCAGACCTGACAGACAGCTGTGTGGAATGACAGAAGAGAAGAGGGAAAGGAGGTGACAGGCAGGGAGAGAAGGAAGAAGAAATAGATGAGGATGCGAGAGATAGTTTAAGTAAGAGTTTTTTTGTGGTTTATTTATTAGAGGTTTTACGTCCGCAGCTGCATAAGGCCATGTGAGCGCCAGAAGATTCGAGGTGTTACAAGAGAGTAACAGACAAAAAAGGAGAAGGGGAGACAAGGACGGTATAATAGGTTTGATAGGAAAGAAGATCGAAGCAAACCACACCAGAGCACCCGCCAACCACCCACAAAGAGAGTGAGAAAGAGAGGGAGAGGGAAAGAGAGAGA